CAGTCCTTGCTCAGCCTCAGGCAGTCACAGGCACAGGTGCCACCACACCTGGCTTATATTTAAATTTTTGAGGAGCCACCATTCTGTTTTTTCATAGCAGCTGCACCATACATTCCTAGCAACTGTTAACCTAAATAACAACATAGAGAATAGCTCTTCAAAATGAAGAGTTAATTGGGGAAAGCAAGCTGTTGGCAATGCAGAATATGGTGGCAGAGTAAGTATGGACATAGGAAACGTGCTGTTAGGCAGATATTTGTGAGGATCCTTCCTTTATGGCCTTCCTGGGTTCTATTTTTTTAGGATTTGACACAAGTTGACTCCATTTTGTAGTGACAACTTTCACACAATAGAAAAAAAAATCCAGTTTCTGTATATCCTTGACAACACTTATTATTTTCTGTTTTTTGTTTTTGTTTTCTAAATAGTAGCCAATCTAATGAGTGAGATAGCATCTAAATGTGGTTTTGATTTGTATTTCCCTAATTGTTAATGATGTTGAACATCTTTTCATGTGTTTTGTTTAGTGGTCATTTATATACCTTGGAGTCCTTTGCTCATATTGTTAAATTGTAGGAGTTCTTTATATATTCTGGATATTAATCCCTTGTCAGATATTTGATTTGCAGATATTTTTCCCATTCTGTAAATTGTCTTTTCACTATATGTGTCTTTTGATGCATAATTTAAATTTATGACATAGTTATATTTGAGAAATCATTCTCAAATCCAGTGTCATGAAGCTTTTCTCCTGTGCTTTCTCCTAAAGTTTTTTTTAAATAGTTTTAGCTCTTTGATTCATTTTGATCTAATTTTTGTATGGTTAAGATAATGTGCATATCCAGTTTTCCCAGGAAATGTCAAAGACTGGCCTTTTTTCCCATTAAATGATCTTGGCACCATATACATGGAGGTTTATGTGTATGTGGACTCTTCACTGTCTTGATCTTAGTCCACTGGTTTTCCATTGTCACAGGAATCTAGAGCTTACCACCATCAGTTTCTCCAGAGAACAGACCTTCATTCTTTTTTTTTTTTTTTTAAAGAGAGAATGGGAGGGGGGAGGGGGAGAGATAGAGAGAATTTTTTAATATTTATTTTTTAGTTCTCGGCGGACACAACATCTTTGTTGGTATGTGGTGCTGAGGTTCGAACCCGGGCTGCACGCATGCCAGGCGAGCACGCTACCGCTTGAGCCACATCTCCAGCCCAGACCTTCATTCTTATATAAGGATTATCTAAGGCAATTTCAAGGCTACTCAGGGTGAGGAAGGATCTGGTATATCTTTTTTTCTTTTTTGATATTGGGGATTGAACTCAGGCACTCAATCATTGAGCCACATTCCCAGCCCTATTTTGTATATATATTTTTAAGAGACAGGGTCTCACTGAATTGCTTAGTGCCTCACAGTTGCTGAGGCTGGCTTTGAACTCAAAATTCTCCTGTCCTAGCTGAAGCTTTGTATATCCAGTTAAATATCACCACTCTCATATCAAGTGCATCTCCGTTCAAATCTTTTTATTGTTGTTGTTGGTACTGGGGATTGAACTCAGGGCCACTTGACCACTGAGCCACATCCCCAGCTCTGTTTTGTATTTTATTTAGACACAAGGTCTCACTGAGTTGCTTAGCGCCTCCATAAGTTGTGAGGCTGGCTTTGAACTCTTGATCTCCTGCCTCAGCCTCCTGAGCTGCTGGAATTATAGGCGTGCACCACCACGCCTGGCTTCCATTCAAATCTTAATCCTATTATTTATTTATTTTGTGGTTCTGGGAATCAAACCCAGGGCCTGGTGCATGCTAGGGAAGCACTCTTACCATTGAGTTACATCTCAGATTTTCCTTATTTTATATGAGCTCAGTTCTTTCTTTAAAGGATATATTTTTTTTTTAAATATTTTTTTTATTTTTTAGTATTCGGTGGACACAACATCTTTGTTTGTATGTGGTGCTGAGGATCGAACCCGGGCTGCACGCATGCCAGGCGAGCGCGCTACCGCTTGAGCCACATCTCCAGCCCCATAAAGGATATATTTTTTTAAAAAATATTTTTTTAGTTATACATGGAGACAATATTTTTATATTGCTTATTTATTTTTATGTGGTGCTGAGGATTGAACTGATGCTTCTCATGTGTGAGGCAAGTGGTCTGCATCTGAGCCACAACCCCAGCCCAAAAGGATATATATTTATTGGTACATTATATTATGCATAATAGTAGAGTTCATTATGCTGTACTTGTACATGTGAATAACATAATTTGATCAGTCTCATTCCCTAGTACCTTTCCTTTTCTTTTTCTTCCCCTCCCTCCATTCCTTCTTTCCTTCCTTCCTTAGGGCACTTAACCACTGAGTCACATCCTCAACCCTTTTAAAAATTTTTTATTTTGAGACAGGATCTCACTAAGTTTCTTAGCCCTCGATAAATTGTTGGGGCTGGCTTTGAACTTATGGTCCTCCTTCAACATTCTGAGCCCATGGGATTACAGGTGTATACCACCAGGCCTGGCTAGTAACTTTCCTTTCTAAAGAGATAGTTTTTAAACAGACACTTAAAATATTTGTTGTCTTTCAGGCATTATTCTAATCACTTATATTTTTAAACAAATATTTAATTTATGTACTGCTTTTAGCAACCTAAGGCTGGCTTTGAACTAGTGATCCTCCTGCCTCAGCCTCCCGAGCTGCTGGGATTACAGGTGTGCGCCAGCATGCCCAGGTAGAATTCAGTTTTTACTGCTGTCCTCTTTGCTTATATGAATCTCTTAAGAATTAAGTGAGAATTGAAATTCCTACCATCACACTCTACCTTACATTTAAATTCCTAGTATAGTAACATGGACCAGAATACCTTTTTTTTTTTTTTTGGTACTGGGGGATTGAACCCCAGGGGTGCTTAGCTGAGCTACATCCCCAGCCTTTTTAAGAAAATATATTAGAAACAGGGTCTAGCTGAGTTGCTAAGTGCCTCCCTAGCTGCTGGGATTACAGGCCATCTATGCCCCCTCGCCTGGCTCTGAATACCTTTTTAACTCTAGACCTCACTTCTTCTTTTTTTTTTTTTTTTTAAAGAGAGAGTGAAAGAGGAGAGAGAGAGAGAGAATTTTTAATATTTATTTATTTTTTAGTTCTCGGCGGACATAACATCTTTTTTGGTATGTGGTGCTAAGGATCGAACCTGGGCCGCACGCATGCCAGGCGAGTGCGCTACCACTTGAACCACATCCCCAGCCCTAGACCTCACTTCTTATGAATATATGAAATGGAGCAAAAATAGAAGGACTGATCTCATGGTGGTTATGGTGGTTGAACCAGTCTTTGTCTCCTTGTTTGGTATCCAGAAGTTTTATACCTCAAGGCCATGCCTCAGGGTAAAATTTAGAATGGGTGAAGGTTGTTTCATTCTTATATAAATGGTAGAATTGGGACTGAAAGATCTAAGCACTGGCATGTTCTCATGTAGGTTAATTTGAGAAAAAGCTTGTACAAGATGTAAATCTGGAAATTGATTTTCTTTAGAAATTTATGGTATTGTTCTTAGGAAAGTCTTAATTATATATATTTCATATTTTATAAACATATAACTGTAGAAAGTCCAAAATGCATATTTTCTAATTTGAAGAGCAGTCTTTACAGGATATGATTTCTCAAATGTGTAGTATTTCACCTAATGAGTGGTACCGAGGACTTTGTGGATCATCTGAAAGCAAGTGTGGACAAAGGAAAAATTGACCTTTTTCTGACACCTGGTGGCAGCAACTGAGCATTGTAAATGTCCTTGGCTTGCTTTAGATTTAATCTAGTTTGGGGAACTCTTAACACTTACCATAGTGCTCCCTATTCTTTTTGTTTTTCTTCTTTAAATATGAGTAAATTTGTTCAAAATAAACACAAAAAAGATTGTATGGAAATTCTCTGCATAGTAAAATTTTCAACCCTCAACCTTTTATTATTTATTTATTTATTTAAAAAAATTTAAAAATATTTATTCTTAAGTTTTAGGTAGACACAACATCTTTATTTTACATTTATGTGGTGCTGAGGCTCAAACCCAGTGCCTCGTGCATGCTAAGTGAGCACTGTACCACTGAGCCACAACCCTAGCCCCTCAATCTTTTACTTTTTTAAAAAAGATTTAAAAATTTTTTGTTGTTGTAGATGGACACAATACCTTTACTTTTTAAAATTTATTTTATGTGGTGCTGCAGATCAAATCCTGTTCCTCACACATGCGAGGCAAGCTCTCTGCCACTGAACCACAATCCCAGCCCCTTAACCCTCAACCTTTTAAAACCATATGTACAATTTTATACATTTGCTGTCTACATCATTCAGGAAATTAAGAGAGTTCCCTATAGTATGAGGTTAATCCACATATTCTTTAATAAAATAGTATCTTGAAGGGGTTGGGAGTTGTGAATAAAATCAGACTTAAAAGCCTTGGAATAAGAATGGTCTGTTTCATTGGAACTAATATTTGATATTGTCTGAAGAATTTCTAGATGAATACTGTGCCAATGTCACACAATTGTAATGAACTTAAGAGTTATAAACCAAGTCAAAGGGTCCAGTAGTGACTGTTCATGAGACCATCAGAAAAACCTGTCATGAAGCAAGTTCATTAGATCCAGTACACTAAGGAGACCCTCTCCCACACAATTGTGTTTCAGAGTAGGAAGATTAGGATGTTTATAGGATTTTAGGACCTTGGCTGAGTCATTTTAAGGTAGGTCTTGCAAGGCAGGTAGCTGTTGGGGATTGGGCCATTGTGGATGGATACAAGAAGGCAAGGGTTTTGAAACAAGTCTTGATATGTAAGTTGTTTAGTTGGTTTCCAAGAATCTTCTGTGTTGTATTTTCCAGATATATCCTGGAGCTAAGTCATTTTTGTTCAGCCTCAGTTTGTTTAACACTAGGACAAATAAATTATATTGGATTTTATTCTCTTTTAAAAGTAAGATCTAAATTAATTTACATGAATCATTGGTTTGTTTCAGCTTTGCCCGAAGTTTTTACATACAAATTCTACTAGTCATACTTGGCCATTCAGTGCAGTTGCTGAATTAATAGGTATGTAAATTGACATTTCATATATTATCTGTTGCTTGCACTTACAGTTTTAAAACTTTATTGAATAATAATATACGAGTGTACTTCAAAAATTTTTATCTTTAATAATATTAGTAGTAAGGCTTACCTGGCATAACAATTATGCAAAAAGGAGTCAAAAATCACTGTTTTACTTTCCTTATAATATTACCCAAGTATTTCATAACATTTAGGATTCAATTTGCTAAGTTTGTACAGTGTTTATATTGAAAACATTTTTATTCTGATTATCAAAGTTAAAAATGAGAATTATGCTTCTCAATATATACTGAGTATATAATAGAGAATGTATATAATATATAGAATGGGATCGTTTTTCTGGTGTTACGAAGATTAATATGTTAGATTTGTGATAATAAATTCTTGCTTCATCCAAAAGATAGGATGAGCAGGGTCAAAGATTTTTATATATGTATGTATGTACGTATGTATGTTTTGCTGTGTGGGGCTTGAACCAAGAACCTTGTACATGCCAAGCAAGCACTCTACCCCAAAGGTACATTCTTGGCCCTTTGTTTTTGTTTTGAGAAAAGGTCTCACTAAATTGTTGAGACTGGCCTCGAACCTGCAGTCCTTCTGCCTCAGCCTTCCTAGTCACTGGATTATAGACGTGAACTACCACATCCAGCTAGGATTTTATTTTAATAGTGTTGTAATGAACATTAAAAGAGGCAGGGTTGCAGTCAGATTTGCATTATGGGGTCATGATTCATGCAGATGAATATTTTTTAGGATTTTAGTATATGTTTTAAAAATATAGTAATAGGACACTTTGTTCTTAGGTATAATTAAATTCCTTATCAAGGAAGGGTCCATGTGCAAGGAAAAGAAGGACTTTTTGAACAAGCACTTTTCTTTGTTATAGTTAGGTTTTTCCAAGTAGTCCAACTAACACATGTATTTGGGTGATTCCCCCCCCCCCAATCTTGGAGTGGGTTTGCTTTAACATTGTAGTTCTTATTTATTTATTTTTTTTGTATATATTTTTTTTTGTAGTTCTTATTTTTATGGCATCCTGCTTCCCATGACTTTCATGGCACTGTTTGGGGTATATCCCATTTTAACTTTTTTTTTTTTTAGAGAGAGAGAGAGAGAATTTTAATATTTATTTTTTAGTTTTCGGCGGACACAACATTTTTGTTTGTATGTGGTGCTGAGGATCAAATCCGGGCCACACGCATGCCACGCGAGTGCACTACCGCTTGAGCCACATCCCCAGCCCAGCATTTTAAGTTTTTAATAAAATAGTTATCTTGAAGGGGTTGGGAGTAAAAAGATTATTTAATTCTAGGCTGCTTTGTAGGCAGATAATTGAAAATATCTATAATACCTATAATAAGGTCTTCAAAATATATTTTGATTGGTTAAGGAATATTCAGATGAATCACTAGTTGATTTACTTTCTGGTACCATTAAAAAATCTTGGGTTGGGGCTGTGGCTCAGAGGTAGAGTGCTTGCCTACTATACATGAGGCACTGGGTTCGTTCCCCAGCACCACATAAAAATAAAATAAAGATGTTGTGTCCACCTATAATTAAAAAATAAATATTAAAAAATATCTTCTGTTTTTAAATGTATTCCTTTATACTTACATGGTCTAAGAGAAATTTTAAGTTGAGCTAAACAAGGATGTTAAATATACAATAATAGAAATAAAAGCCAAAGAAACTTTTGTTAAACTAACAAGGGTTATGACTGTGGCTTATATATATGTATATATGTAGCTTAACAGAAAATGAAATTGACTTTTCATTTATTTAATAAATGTTATGTACCTTCCATGTCAATTCATAGTGCTAGTTGACACTCAATTCTCAGTTTCCCTTATGATAGCCAGGCTGATCCTTCTCTTAATCATCTCTGGGTTCAGTGATGTTTTACACCAATTTAGTGTGACAGGTACCAGTCTTTGCTCTATACTTAATATGAAGAGCTGTAGAAGGATTAATTCTGCAGTAGACAATGAATATAGTTTCCTGTTTCCAAACCTTATGAATTCCTAAAAATTGTAGCTTTTGAAGTAGTCCTAAATGTGGTAATCTGTTGCTTGTTAAAGGATTGTTCTAATTGTTCTTTAAAATGCAAACTCAAAATTTATGAAAACCTTTTGTGTCCCAGATAATGCTTATGATCCTGATGTGAATGCTAAACAAATATGGATTGACAAAACAGTGATAAATGACTGTATATGCTTGACATTCACTGATAATGGGAACGGTATGACATCAGATAAATTACACAAAATGCTAAGGTATGTAAAAATGTGCCATACATTTGAAGATCAAGGCTTTAAGTAGTTAAAGAATTCCATGTGTCATACTTTGTATCCTGTTTTGGTTTTTTTAAACATGAAATTTCATACACTCAGTGTGAGTGATTGCCTCTGACCATATTTCTATTAAAACTTACCATGGGGGGCTAACTTTAAATAGATTGAGAGATTGAGAAAGCAGCATAAAGTAGTCCTAAGGTCTTGGGCTATAGGATCAGAGAATAGGATGCCAGTGTGAATCAAATGTGTCTGAAATGGAAACAGACTGTAGTATAGATACAGGGTACAAGAAAAATTTAGAAGCATAGGCCTTTTGTTATCCCTTAAATGTTATGCTGCTAAAAGGTTTAGTTGATCCCATCATTAATCATATCACAGTAGGCTTGCTGAGAACAAGAGAATCATGAACACTTAGAGGAAGAGGTTCATGGGGTAAAATCTCAAGTCCCAGGACCCCAGATTATAACTCGGCCAACTAATTGACCAGGATGTGCCGGCATCGAGCTCCTGTATTAGTACCTGTAATTCTTACACCCCTATGATAAGATTCGGTTTCCTTTGCTTCAGAGATGGGAAGATACATCAAGATAGATTAAAAGTAATTTGCCCAAGATGATATAGTCAGGAAGGTAAGGCCAGCATTTGGACCCAGGCTTTTTTAACTTGGTATTATACTTGCTGAATTTGAAAAAATTGAAGATTATGAGTGTTTATTTTTTAAATCTTTTCTTTTTCTTTTAGCTTTGGCTTCAGTGACAAAGTCACCATGAATGGTCATGTCCCGGTTGGATTGTATGGGAATGGCTTCAAGTCAGGTTCTATGCGTTTGGGTAAAGATGCAATAGTTTTTACCAAAAATGGAGAAACCATGAGTGTGGGCTTCTTGTCTCAGACCTACTTGGAAGTCATAAAAGCAGAACATGTTGTTGTTCCAATAGTGGCATTCAACAAACACCATATCCTTTTGGTTTTGAAATAGAAGCTGTTCAAAACTGAAAAAAATATTGGGAAGCATTCTACCCTTTTGCCTTTCTCCAGATTCTTATTTTTTAATCACACCTATTCCAGTTTTTGTCTGTGTCAACTGCCTTTAACCCTACACCTGAAGCTCAGGGTTTGTTATTGGAATTGTGCTATGGAAATCCTGAATGTTAAGGTAGTTACATTTAATGTTAAGTTATTTTCAAGGGCTGGGGGGATAGCTTAGTGGTTATAGTGAACCTAGCATGAGTGAGACCCTGGGTTTGATCCCCAGCACCATAAAAAGAAATAAACAACTTTTTCCATAGCTCTCCTTTTTATTTTAGGTTTATTATGGATTAGTAAAGACGTCTGTGGTATGACTTGAAAATTTTGCTAATGATTATGAAAAGCAGGATAACTTTAGGAAAATTTTCTGACACATTGATATATTGGAAGGCATTAAATTAAATTAGTAATAATATTAATAAACTTAATTTTTATCCTTTCTGATATTCATTTGAAATCAAACTGTCATTTTAAAACTTTGAAAATACTTGAGAAAATATTTTTCTGCTATTTATTAAAGTTTACATACTATATTTGTGAAAAGCATGTTGGTGATCTGAGTCTTTAACCAAGGACATACGTCAGATGATTAATTTAGCAGAATCAAAAGCAAGCCTTGCTGCGATTCTGGAACATTCTCTGTTTTCTACGGAACAGAAATTACTGGCAGAACTTGATGCTATTATGGGTAAGAAGGGGACAAGAATCATCATTTGGAATCTTAGAAGGTAAATGTAGACCCCAGCTAGTTGGTGACCATTTGGGAAGTAAAGTACATGTTTAGGGTTGGTTAATGTCATTAAGTACATTCATTATTACACAAAGAAGAAATACATGGAAAGGTAATTTTGGTATAGTTAATGATTTATCTTTCTCAGGATATTTTATTGAAGTCACTTTGGCTTCAATTTGAAATACTAGAAAAGAATTTCTGTTTATGCCACTCAATCTCCATTAGCACTGTATTTTCAATCATTCTGCCTCTCTCCTCAAAAAAAAAAAAAGAAGACGATGAAAGTCCCAGGAACAAGTTCAGCTTATAGAAATCTTCCATTTTTGTCCATTAAAGCTAAGCATGGGGGCTGGGGATGTGGCTCAAGCGGTAGCGCGCTTGCCTGGCATGCGTGTGGCCCGGGTTCGATCCTTAGCAGCACCACATACCAACAAAGATGTTGTGTCC